GAGAGAGAGAGAGAGAGAGAGAGAGAGAGAGAGAGAGAGAGAGAGAGAGAGAGAGAGAGAGAGAGAGAGAGAGAGAGAGAGAGAGAGTACCACATCATTTTAAGGGTGATTTCTTTGAGTGGTGATTCTGGCAATGGGTAAGTTCATGAAAACCGTGGTGTGTGATTTGCAGGGACTACCGCAGCATTTTTATTTGCCTTGATACATGGCCGTCTTTGGAACGTAAGATTTTTTTCTTGTTCTTTTTCTTTCTTGGAATGGAAAATTCGTGCTTTACTCCTCGAAGAGGTGGTATTTCCTGATGTGGCCCTCAACTTGCGAAATTCCTCGAAGTTCCCTTCCAATGGGAGTTCAAATCTGCTGAATATCCGTCACATTGATTGCATCCGACATCTTTTCAGTATGCCTCTTCAGTTGCCTGTTCAACTTTGCTGGATGCCATGACACTTTCTGGCTGTTGTTCGCTCGGGCCGGGGCGTTGGAGGCCTAGAGTCATGGTGCAAAGTCGCAAGAAGGTACGGCAGGGCCTCTGCAAAAATTGCACACCGGCAGGACCCACAAGCAATTTTGCATCTGTAATCGGCAAAAAGCAATTTTTCTCTTTATAATAAGAAAGGCACTCATAATCCTGGAATACTTTGTGCAGGAAGCGACGTGCAGTAACAATGGCAGGGCACCTCATGCAGCGTGGAGGAACTATGATGACTTCAATGAGTTTTTCTGGTAGGTGATGGGTTGGAGCTCATGCTGTACCGGAAACTTGGGTTGTTTGTATGTCGTCCATACAAGCATTTGTTTGTTTGACCTGTTGCCTCCATGAATGGCATGGTTTACTCTATTGGACCTGTTGTCTGTGTGAATGACAGAGTGCTGATGGAGAATCGCACAGTTATCACGCGCAGTCGTGAAAGACACTCTAGAGGCACAAAATGAACGAAGTAACAAGCGGGAAAGTCCACAAAGCCGTCAGCACAGTCTGGCGTTCCGTGTGTCCTGGTAGCGGATCTCTGGATAGTAGCGGATAACCATCTGGATAATGTGGATTAATTAAAATTATAAATTTGTGTGCTCCGATTTTCCGGCAAGTGAAGAGAATGAAGGGGGAGATCAAGCCATTTGGACCACATATTGGCAGCAAGGTGGGAGAAGAAAGGGCATGTTCCAAGGGAACAGGTGGAAAAGCTACCATGGTCAACTCTACACAGTATCAGATTGGCCAAGGTCAGGAGTATGCAGTGGCTCATCTTTCATTTAGCACTTCCAGTCAATGCCTGGTTGTATGAAAGACGAAGCAGTTCCAATAGGAATGAAGAGGATCAAAATTGTGGAATGTGTTTGGGGGGTGTTCAGGAAACACTGTTCCATTGTTTGCTGTACTGCCCGGAAGCAGAACATCTCTGGTCGCTGCCCTGTGCATTATGGGCACGCACTAAGGAGTTCCCTTTCCCGAGAAATATGAAACTACTATTGATTGGAGTTTTCCTAGGGGATGGCGAGCGGGACATAAGTTTATTTTTGAACTACTAAGACAGTATACTTTATGGACAATTTGGAAACGAAGATGCCAGAGGGTGGTAGGCAATATTCTGATGACGAGAATGGAAGCCAGGGCGATTCTCTATAGTCTGCTGGAGACAGAGATTAGGGCGTTATGGTTAAGGACAAGGAAGCAAATGGCCTTTAACCCTGAAAGGGCAAAGGACACCTTAGCCAAATTCCAGAATAGGGTACTGGGCCAAGGCAAAGTTGCTTTTATAGAAGGACAAAGACCTATCTTCCATTGGTTTAAAGATGATCCTCATGGGGAGGCTATGGATCTTCAGGGGGTAACACAGGAACTTAGGCAGCCATAATAAGTTAAAGGAGACAGTGTAAGGAAGGATAAGTCAAGGGGTTTAGGGTCGAGGGTATATAGGTATGCCAGGGTAGGATAAGTCAAGGGTTTTTTTAAGGGTTTAATGAATATAATGCAGGAAGGGATCAGGTCCTCATGGACTATAGATGATAGCAGTTTAGTTGGGAGTGGAGAAAGGGCACAGCACAAGTTTACCTGCACGTTTTGGTTCCGACCGAGGGTTTAGGGTTTAGGGCTTACGCAGAAATAGGTTAAATATGGTTATGAAGGTATAAGACAGTTCAAAAGACTCATAAGTGTCCCAGCAGGCTATTGCAAAACATATCTACCCGACAGCTTTAAAGCTGAGAGGAGCTGAGTGGGGATCAGATAGAATGACAGGTAGAGAATAACTTAGGCAGGGGTGAGGGGTGGTACATTCTTCCGTAGAGAAGCAATCAATGCTACCTTCTCGGGGCTCCCAGACATAATGGGGAGGAGCGTGTGTGAGTGCTTTATGTATTCCATATTGTCTTGCCGGGGGAATAGGAACCGGACTGTCGCTCCCCAGAATGGTAGGAGCCGGAACCGTGAGGTTCTGATTTTCAAAAAAAAAAAAAAAGAAAAAAAAACGAAAAAAAAAAAAGAAAAGAAAGAGAAAGGTCATGTGCAATCGTGCAAAATACAGAACAACCTCGGGGTCATGACGGAATTCATGACCGAATTTGAGGGAAAAAAAATGTATGACCTAGGTGCTTTTGATGATCCCTTAATCTCAATGAGATCCGGATATCCAGATGAATTTGGAATGGTTGCAGTGGAGTCCCTTGGAAAGAAGAGGGGTGTATGTTGCCCTACCTTCATTCAGACCCCCTCGCTGAGGGGTGTATTTGTGTGCTATATTTGCATTCACACCCCGGACCATGTGCCTGGCACGTCACCTTGGGGTTCCACACAATGTAATCCATCATGGAATTTATGTCATCTGCCGTGATTATGTCCATATAATATGAGCATCCCTTGCCTAAACCACTACGAGACAAAGATGGCCTGACAAAAGGAATATTGTAGCTCTATGGGATCCCTATTCTTTGGTCATCTTGTCTTGTAAGGTGTTGGCGTGTTTTTTTTTTTTTTGTGAGTGGCATTGATGAATCAACATGTGTGTAATTTGGCTGTCCACAGGAGTTATCGCTGTTTCAAAGAGCTACAGTGGGAGCCCAATGGATTGAATCTTGCATCGGACTTCTTTGTTCCCCCAGATTCATACAAGCCAAAGGTATTTCGCCAAACCTTTGTTGATACCTGGTACAGTGACAACGCAACTCAGTGGAACTTCAGTGAACTTTGGTGATCTCGTGTACTTGTGAGGTTGAGATAGTTGTCAGATATCTTGTTCGTGGCAGAAACTGCGCGCTCAAACTTGTTTCATCACCTGTATGTTATTAGTTCCACTAAGCATTCAACCTTGAGAGAAATCCAACAATCTGGGCAAAGAGGAGCTTGTTGTCATCCGTTCACTGATGGTGCAGGAGTTTGACCCACAGCACTGAGCACGGATTTTCATACATTTGCATGGCTGATTGCCCCTCTTCCCTGGTTGAGCACCCTCTGACCTTGTCAGTTACCCACCCCTCCAGGTTTTGCATGGTCCCCCATGTTGAGACCTGTTCTGGACGGTTACTTCAGGTTATACTTGTTAAGAAACGAGAATGCTTCTCGATTCATTCAAGCCTATCACACCTATCACACCTATCACACCTATCACACCTGTCACACCTATCACACGTATCACACCTATCACGCCTATCACACGTATCACACCTATCACACCTATCACACCTATCACACCTATCACGCCTGTGAGGCCTACAACGCCTATCGCACCTATCACACCTATCACGATTGACATGCCTATTCGTCCTCTTCTTCATCTTCCCTAGTACTCGTTTGATGTGTGATTGCAGCGGGGAAGTTCTTCTATGATTAGTATCTGATTTTAGTCTTCCGCTGTGTCACATTGCATCTCTTCTCATGCTGATGATCGTTCGACTTGCATTTCTGAGGGTTCACTCTGGACTAGCCATGCTCCTTTTAAATCATGCAGGAGAGATCCCTAGAAAGGTAAGAGGTCTAAGAGAGAAGTGCGGACTAGCCATGCCACTTTCCAGTCATCAAGGATAGACCCCTAGGGGGCTAAGAGGTCAAAGAGAGAGGGTCTCTTTTAGACCTCTTACCCTTCTAGGGATCTCCCCTGGATGATTGAAAGTGGCATGGCCAGTCCAGTCCAGACTTGGCTGGCTGTGTGTGTGATGCATGCCAGGAGCGAAGCGTCGGCAATGCAATTCCAAAGATCACCAGTATGAGGAAGAGGTGCCATGTGACACAGCAGAAGACTCAAATCGGAAACTACTGTCTGACGATGCAGCAAAATGACAATGTGGCTCAGATCTCATCTCACACCAAGTGTGGAGAGGCCCAATCATAGAAGAACCTCCATGCTGCAATGATACACAGACAGAGGGGCCCAATCATACAAGAATCTCCCTGGTGCAATCACACATAGACGGAGTAATAGGAGGAGATGGAATGAAGAAGATGAGGAAGAAGAAGAAGAAGAAGAGGCGGTTTCTCGTCTCTCCCCTCAACCTCCAAAACGCCCTCCAGCAGTTAATCTCAGATCTCAAGTCAGGGAGCCGGGCTCGAGTAATACCTATGTGAAGTTTCCTCTCTCTCTCTCTCTCTCTCTCTCTCAAGAAGAAGAAGAAGAAGAAGAAGAAGAAGAAGGAGAAGTGTGGAACCCTCACTCCATCTCTCATTTAGGTGATCCTGACCGGTTAAAGGCAGATCCCTGAGCCGCTGATGAACTGCAGGTATCTCAAAGAAGAAGAAGACCAGCTATGGCTGGCGGCAGGCCTCCAGAATATGGCACCAGGTGAGTGGAGCCCTCCACCAGCACCTCCTCTCTCTTCTATACCTCTACACTGCTACTCTAGGTCCTCTAATGGTGCTCCTCTACCTCCACTAGCGCTATGCTAGGTCAACTCGTCAGTCCGGTGGCAATCGATGAACTCTCCGAAATACCTACCAACTACTAGGCCAGTGTTACATCTTCGACGCACACGGGTCCTACCGGACCCGACTTAGGGCCGGAAGGACACATCAGGGCCTAAAGGCCCGACCTTGGGGTATTACAGGCTCTCAGGGCCTGATCTTGGACCAGTACCCGACGGGCAGGCCCAAACGGCATTATCGTTTGGGCCTGGCGGCGCTCTTGAGGCTGCCGCCCGCCGGTTGGGGCTGAACCGTCCATCTGGACGGTTCAGGGCATGGCCAGGCCTCGCAGCATTGAGGCCGGCCTCTGCCCCACCGGTATAAAGTACCGGTACAGCCTCACTTGGAGGCATCGAACCACCGRCACTCTACCGGTGCGTTATGGTCAGCRCCAGAGCGCTRTTTTGATGCGCTAAGTTTAGCGCAGGAGCGAGCAAGGAGCAGCAGCGGCAAGCGGAGCAGCAGCAGGGCGACTGAGCCAGCACGGCGGCCATTGCCGCCTGAGGTACCTGGGAGCGGAGGATCTCTCCTACCTCCCTCGTCAGCTCTCTCTCTCTCTCTCTCTCTCTCTCCCTCCTTGCCGCCTGAGGTACCTGGGAGCGGAGGACCTCTCCTCCCTCCCTCGTCAGCTCTCTCTCTCTCTCTCTCTCTCTCTCTCTCCCTCCTCCTCCTCCTTTTTCTTCTTCTTCTTCTTCTTCTTCTTCTTCTTCAGACTAGAGACTTATACTAGTTGGACAGAGATCAGAGTTGGACTTCGGTCATATGAGACTGTGGGACTTACCTGATTGGAGACCTGGAGATTGTTGAGGTTGATACTCGGCTGCATCACAGTTGGACACCGGTTACATCCGGACTCTGTATCTCCGACATTGATGACCTATGGGCCTCGACATTTTGATCTTGTTGTATGACATTTTGGACTACCATATCGGAGACCTATCAGACTCTATCTATCAGTGTTGTCTACCTCCCCACCTCCTTCGTCTCTCCTCCCAYCYTTCATCTGTGAATGCGTGTACGGGATCKGGGCATCGTCTATGAATGGCCCAGACCCCACCATCTCACGATTGTATGTGTGTGGAGTGATGCTATGTGAGTCAGTCCGTTTATCAGACTTCCGCTGCATATATGCTCATCCTACATTGGTTGATCTTTGGTTCTGCCCATACTCATTGAAGTATGCAACAGCCAGCCTCTCCCAAATACTGCTGGCGCCCAACCAATGCCGGCGTCTCATCTGGGCCGTCTGATCTAACCAAGGATCCGGTGGACCAGATGGGAGGCCGCGTGGCAAAACCCAAGGCCCAGGCCTGGAAACGTGTGGCCTGCGTGCAGCCAGAGGGCCTGGAAGGGAGAAATTGCCTGGCAGGAAAAGTTGGAGACAGGCCCAGCCTCAAAAGCAAGCTGGGCCAAACGCATGACTCAGTAGGTGTCCGAGGTGTGGATGAGATAAGGGCCCCACCCCACCACTTTCCAAGTCTGTGGTTTTAAAAGTGGCGGTGTCACCACACTCACTGTTGGATTTGGAAGTCGCAAAAAGGTTTGAGAGCTGTTAGATGGAGGGGTTCGAGAGTACTCTCAGACTTCTTTGTTGTGCCTGCCTGCGAACGGCCCATGTTGAGAGACCTTTGAAGCGCCGCGGGCTTCAACTTAAATCTGGAGAGCAAGTCAAGGTCGACGAGGCTTCTGGCCCACAGAATGACAACCGCGACACACAAAGGAACAACAGCCAACTCTGACGGCAGCTTGGAGAGTGGCGAGGAGCACTGTTGAAGCGGTTTTTATGCATTCTAGAGTTCGAGAGAACTCTCAAACCTTTTCTCGTTTTCAGGAGTGGTGTGGCGAGCCCCAAAGTCATGGGAACTCATTCAGACCATTGCAAAGTGAACTGATGATAAAGAAACCGTACTGACGACAACACCATAGGCAGAAATCGAAATTTAAGCAAACTGAATAAAACTAGACCGAGAACGGACAAAATACACACTTGCACGGAGGAGATGGAATACTTACACGCCTGCCTGGAATAAAAAAGAAAGCGAACTGCATAATCTGGACTGAGAACAGATAAAATGTACACGCCAGTTCTCGGAACAGACAAAGTGTACAATGTTGGAATCTTGGACCCGTGTGGAAGCCTCTAGGCATGCCACAGGGTGTGTGTGTGTGTGCGTGTGCGTATGTGTTGCCATGTTCGCTACACACAACTGCACAGAAAAAAAAACATGAAGCGTGTGTGTGTGTTGTGTATGTGTGTGTGTGTGTGTGTGTGTGTGTGTGTGTGTGT